CCCTGCCTCCCCTCATCCTCCTGCATCTCCTCACCCCCCTGCCCCTCCTCATCCCCTGCACCTCCTTATCCCCCTGCACCTCATCATCCCCCTGCACCTCCTCATCCCCCTGCACCTCCTCATCCCCTGCATCTCCTCATCCTCCTGCACCTCCTTATCCTCCCACACCTCCTCATCTCCCCGCACCTCCTCAACCTCCCACGTCTCCTCATCCCCTGCATCTCCTCATCCTCCTCCACCTCCTCATCCCCCTGCACCTCTTCATCTTCCTGCACCTCCTCATCCCCCTGCACCTCCTCATCCCCCTGCACCTCCTCATCCCCTGCACCTCCTCATCCCCTGTATCTCCTCATCCTCCTGCACCTCCTCATCCCTCTGCACCTCCTCATCCTCCCAAACCTCCTCATGCCCCCACAGCTGTGGTCCCTGCTGATGGGGAGAGCACAAGGATGGAGAGATGGGACCCTTTGGAGAAAGAAGCCCCCTCCTTGCCCCTCAGCACCCACTTTTCTCAGCCCTGGTGCTGATCTGCAGGGGTGGGGGTCCCCACAGGGCCATTAACATGAGCGGGGGTCTCTGCTCTGCAGGAAGGAGGTGGGCCTGGACCTCTTCTTCCCCAGCCAGATGCAGGAGAACCTGAAGGTGAGGGGCAGGCACGGGCAGGTAGCTCTGGGTGCAAGGCGCGTGAGTGTGCACAGGTGGATTTGTGTGTACAGGTGTGTCCACCCACACGTGTGAAGGTGTTTGCACATGTGTGTGTCTGTGTGTGTCCATGTGCATGCATGTACCTGTGAGCATCTCACACCCTCAATACCCCACGTCCCTGCTGCGTGGCCAGCATGTGGTCAGCGTGGCTTTTGGCCTCTGTGCCCACAGCCCAAGCAGTTCCGGAAGATGATCCAGCAGACCTTCCAGCAGTATGCGCTGCTGCGGGAGGAGGAGTGCATCCTCAAGTTTCTCCATACCCTCGCCACCTTCGCCAACATCGACCAGGAGAGCTACCGCTGTGAGCTCATCGTGAGTGAAATTAGATGGGATGGGATGGATGGGAATAAGGTGAGATGGGATTGAGATGGGATGGGGTGGGATGGGATTGAGATGGGATGGGGTGAGATGGGATGGGATGGGGTGAGATGGGATGGAGTGAGATGGGATGGGGTGGGATGGGATTGAGATGGGATGGGGTGAGAAGGGGTGAGATGGGATGGGATGGGATGGGACGGGACGGGACGAGATGACATGAGATATGAGATTATGAGATGAGATTATGAGATCCACGACCACCATCCACCACCACCATCCACCACCACCATCCACCATCACCATTCACTATCACCATCCACCATCACCATTCACCATCACCATCACCATCACCATCACACACACACACAGAATCACACAGAATCGCTTGGTTAGCAAAGACCTCCGAGATCATCACATCCACCACCACCACCATCCACCACCACCATCCACCATCACCATCCACCATCACCATTCACTATCACCATCCACCATCACCATTCACCATCACCATCACCATCACCATCACACACACACACAGAATCACACAGAATCGCTTGGTTAGCAAAGACCTCCGAGATCATCACGTCCAACTGTTCCTGTCTACCCCCTAAACCATATCCTTAAGTACCTCATCTACCCGCTCTTTAAACACATCCAGGGATGGTGACTCCACCACCTCCCTGGGCAGCCTGTGCCAGCTTCTGATGACCCTCTCAGGAAAGAACTTCCTCCTTAGCTCTAACCTGAACCTCCCTTGGCACAGCTTGGTGCCGTTTCCCCTTGTTCTATCCCCCATCACCTGGGAGAAGAGACCAGCACCCACCTCTCTCCAACCTCCCTTGAGGCAGTTGGAGGTGGTGCTGAGGTCTCCCCTCAGCCTTCTCTTCTCCAGGCTAAACAAGCCCAGTTCCCTCAGCCGCTCCTCATCAGGCTTGTTCTCCAGAGCCCTCACCATCCTTGTGGCTCTTCACCATCCACCATCACCATCCCCCAGCACCATCCCCTCTCCGAACCATCCCCTCCCTGAGTCCTTTGGGGAAGGTGACTTTTCCCAGGGTGTCTCACACATTGCAGCAGGTTTGGGGGGCAAATGTAGTTCTAGGGGTACATCCTCTCCCCAAATTTGCTTCCTCCTTCTGTTCCTCCCCAGCAAGGGTGGAACATCACAGTGGACCTGGTCATCGGACCCAAGGGCATCCGGCAGATGACGAGCAAGGAGGCCAAGGTATGAGGTGGGAGTGTTGGGTGCTGGTTGGGGTGCTGCAGAGGTGACTGCTCCTAAATTGGGGATTTAAGCCAACGCCGGGGCTCTGCCTCTCCCCCCAGCCCACGTGCTTGGCCGAATTCAAGCACATCAAGTCCATCAAGTGCTCCAGTGTGGAGGAGGGCCGGGCTGTGCTGCAGCTGGGGCTCAACGGCACCCCCCAGGTGAGGAGGCATTTGGGAAGGGGGTGCCTTGAGTGCTGAGGAGGGTGTGGGTGGGATGGGATGGGAGAATCCCCCAGTGCCGTGGGGTGGCATCACATCCCTATGGGTCAGGTAGGATTTGATGGATGTCTCCAAGAGAGCTTCTGGCTCCAGTCATGTCCCCAAAACCAGGGCACGTCCAAGCTGTCCACCCCTCACAAAGGGTCACCCCCTGCCTGAGGGTGATTTTGGGGCCAGGGATGTCCTGGGAAGAGTGATACTGGTGAAACTGGGATGTGCTGCAGAGCAGGGAGGTGGTCACCGAGGTACCCCAAGGTGGAGAGAAGTTGGGGGACACCCCCAATTGGACTCACCTGTGTGTCTCCCTCATGTGCCCGCTGTCTCTCCCAGTCTCTGGCCATCAAGACAGCTTCTCTGGCCGAGGCGGAGAACATGGCCGACCTCATCGATGGCTACTGCCGGCTGCAAGGGGACTTGGAAACCTCCCTCATCATCTTCCCCAGGAGAGGTGAGTGCCTTGGGGGGCACCAACCCCACAGGGACACCCTCCACATCCTCCCTTGGTCCCTTCTTGGCTCCCTCCGTGGCCATGGCATCACCCATGGCTTTGGAGTGAGCGCAGCTCAGACCCACCAAACTCATTGCACATATGGTGGAGGCATTTTGGGGGGGTCCCAACACCCATCAAGCTCTGGTGGGGGGAAATGACCATGTGCTCTCCTCTCTGCAGAGCGGGAGAAGAGGATCAGCCTCCCGCAGATCCCGGCTCTGTGAGTAGATCCTGGTCCTGGGTTGGGGCTGGGACCCCATCCTGAGTCCCCCATCCCAAATCCGCTCCCTGACCCCCACCTGCTCCCACCTCACAGGCACCTGGAGGAGCGGCAGTCCACGTTGTCGGACAGCGTGAGTGTGGGTGAGATGGTTTGCTGCTTCTCCATCCCTTCCCATGAGCCCACAAATGGGAATTTGGGGGCCTGGTGGAGCTGGACACCCCCAACCCTTTACCTGGTTGGGAGTGAGATGCAGCCAAGCATCCCGGGGCAGTCCCAGGCATCCCAAATTCTCCCCATGCCACAAGGAACCCCCCTGAACCCCTACCCACAACCTCCTTCTTGCCCTAGACTCTGATATTTATGCTGAAATCCCTGACGAGTCTTCAAGACCAAGGTCTGGAGGTAGGTGCCACCCCCACTTGGGTGCCTTCTATCTCCCAGCACCCCAACCAAGCCCTGCTCACCCCAATTTCCCATCCCATCTCCTCAAAACTGGGAGCAAGGTCCTGCCTGCGCTGCCCACCTTACCTCCCAGACGGTCTCAAGGAGCTGAGATGACCCCATGTGCAATGGGGCAGGACCTAGGGGTCCTCGCCAAGGGGGTGACCACAGAATCACAGCATCATTAGGTTGGAAAAGACCTTTAAGGTCATGGAGTCCAACCATAGCCTGTCCACCATTAAACGAATGATGATGGAGAAGGGTTGGGATGCAGGGATGGCCAACACCTCCTGATGGGGGCTTTGCCCATGATTTGGGCAGGGGTACAGGCAGCTTCCCCCATGCTGGCGCTGCCACCCCTGCCCTGCTTCCCTGTCTATACAGCCCAGCACTACGGGATCTCCCGGGAGGACATCACGTTGGGCAGGATCCTCGGAGAAGGCTTCTTTGGAGAGGTCTACGAGGGGATCTACACCACCCCGGTGAGCATCCTGCCCTCTCCCTGCCTCCTCCGTGGCTGGGAGGGAGTGGGATGAAGCAGCCCACATCCCTCCTCCTCCTCGCAGAATGGGGAGCAGGTGAACGTGGCGGTGAAGACCTGCAAGAAAGACTGCAGCCCCGAGAACAAGGACAAGTTCCTGAGTGAAGCAGGTACGCCAAGTGGGTCCTGCTGCATTTTGGGGGCACAAGAGACAGATATGGGGGGCCTGGTGGTGTCTGCAATGGTGAGGTGTTAGAGACAGAACCCAGCCCTGGCATCTTGTGGTCCCTACTTGGGGACAAATTGTCCTTATGATATAGGACAGGGGATACCTCCACCAGCCCAGGCTGCTCCAAGCCCCGTCCAACCTGGCCTTGGGCACTGCCAGGGAGGGGGCACCCACCAATTCCTCCTGCCCTGTCCCCGGCTTGATGCCAGAGACCTGCCCCTACACCCCAGGATGGGGGTTTGGGTTCCTGGAAGGGGGGACCCCACCATTGCAAGGTGTCTGATGTGGTGTCCTCCCCCCAGTGCTGATGAAGAAGCTGGACCACCCCCACATTGTGAAGCTCATTGGCATCGCAGAAGAGGAGCCCACCTGGATCATCATGGAGCTCTATCCCTATGGAGAGGTGAGCGAGATCCAACCCCTGGAGCCCATCCTGTCCTCCCTGCCACCCTTCCTGAGCCCCCCTCTCTCGTCCCATTGCAGCTGGGGCAATACCTGGAGCAGAACAAGCTCTGCCTCGCCGTGCCCACGCTCATCCTCTACGCCCTGCAGATCAGCAAAGCCCTGGCCTACCTGGAGGCCATCAACTGTGTGCACAGGTAGGGCAGGAGGGAGAAGGAGCAGGGCAGGATGATAGGAGAAGCAAGGGAAGGCCAGGATGGGCAGGAGAGGACAGAGCATCCTTTGCTGGAGACCCTGCGTGCAACTGGTTGTGTCTCCTTCTCCACCCCTTCTCGCCAGCCAAGGGTCTCTCTCCTTGCAGGGATATTGCAGTCAGGAACATCCTGGTGGCCAACCCGGAGTGCGTGAAGTTGGGCGACTTCGGGCTCTCCAGGTACATCGAGGACGAGGAGTACTATAAAGGTAAGGGGGTCCCCAAAACAGCAGGATGAGGTGGTGGGAAGAGGCTGGAGCAGAGACCATGGTGAGATCTGGTCCATCCCCCTTGCCATGACCATGGCCACCATCTCCTCTCTCCCTCCAGCATCCATCACCCGTCTCCCCATCAAGTGGATGTCGCCCGAGTCCATCAACTTCCGACGCTTCACGACAGCCAGCGATGTCTGGATGTTCGGTGCGTGCTGGGATGGGGACAGAGCAGGGTCCTGGTCATTGTGTCCCCCTCCTATGTCACTGTCTTAATGCATGGAGACAAATCCTGCTCCGGAGATGGGTTACCCTTGAGGAAAGGGCTCCTGGCGCAGAGCTTCTTGCAGTTCAACCATCATTGAGTGCTTTCTTCTCCTCCCATGAATTCAAGATGGTCGGGGGCTTAGTTAAACTCTACCCCCTGCAAATACCCATCTCCCTGCCCATCAGCCCATCCCCATGGCCTCTGGAGCTCATCTGTCCATCCCTAACATCCTCGTGGCCACCAGTAACCAGGAGCTGGACTCCTTGCAGCTCCCAGGGAGAGCAGGAACCCCTTTCCTTTGTGTTTTCCGCCCAAAGACCAGAAAGGCTGGGCAGCCAAGTGACCTGGTGTCACACAGCTGCCACCATGTCCCCAAAAACCCCAGCAAGGGGCTGGTCCCCCACCTCCAGCACCAGTTGAGGTGGCTGACGTTGCTCCCTCAGCCGTCTGCATGTGGGAGATCCTGAGCTATGGCAAGCAGCCCTTCTTCTGGCTGGAGAACAAGGACGTGATCGGGGTGCTGGAGCGGGGCGACCGCCTGCCCAAGCCCGAGCTCTGCCCACCCGTCCTCTACACCCTCATGACGCGCTGCTGGGACTATGACCCCAGTGAGAGGCCCAAGTTCAAGGACTTGGTTTGCAGCTTGAGGTGAGTGGGGAGACGGGGAACCCATGATGGGCTTGGGGGGCCTGTGATGGTGGGGTGGGCAAGGGGATGAAGGAGCAAAATGAAGCCATGCAGGGTTTTGGGACTGGAGTTTGCTGGCCAAGTCTGAACTCAGAGGACCATCTGAGACCATTTAAGACTGTTTGAGACCATCTGAGACCATGGGGGGTGGTGGTGCCTGGGCTGAAACGGGGATGCTTCGCTTCCCATGGAGGGGTCTTGCAGGGGAGTCCTGATCCCACATCCTATGGGGCCATCTGTGGTGTATCAGCCATGGCGATGCTTTGGTGAGGCCCAGGTTGCCCAGAGAAGCTGTGGGTGCCCCCTCCCTGGCAGTGCCCAAGGCCAGGGTGGACGGAGCTTGGAGCAGCCTGGGCTGGTGGAGGTGTCCCTGCCCATGGGGGTTGGACTGGGGGGGCTTTAGGGTTCCTTCCCATTCAAATCAGTCTGGGATTTGATGGTGCGGCCAACCAGGACCATGCTGTGTCCTCCCAGTCCTTTTCCTTTCTTCCCACCCCTCCTTGCTCCCTGGTGTCCTCCATGGCCCATCCATCCCCACACTCTGGGCCATGCAGATGTACCAAAGCCCCCTCCTGGGACTGTCACCCTCCGTCTCTCCTTGCAGTGACATTTACCTGATGGAGAAGGACCTGGCCAAAGAGAAGGAGAGGAACAACCGCCACCGGCCTCCCAGAATCATGGAGCCACCGTCCTTCCAGGACCCACCTCCGAAGGTGAGAAGAGGGCAGGTTCATCTCCCCACCTTGCTCCACTGATGAGTGCTGCAGAATTGGGACCTCCCTGAGTTTGTCCCCACCCCACTGTGCTTTTCTCTCTCCCCACAGCCCAGCAGACCCAGGTACAAGCCACCACCCCAGAGTAACCTCCTGGCTCCCAAGCTGCAGTTCCAGGTAAGGATGCACACCCAGAGCATCCCATGGGGACCTGAGCAATGGGGTCAATGCCAAAAAGCCCTGTCTGGAGCTCGACCCCCTGGGGGCTCATGGCTTTCAGGGTGCCCCATGCCACCACCCAGTGTCTTCCCAACACCTTGCCATCAGGACACGGCACTGCTTGGGGAAGGAGGGGAGGTTCACTGCTCTCTGGGCTGATTTTTGGCTGCCTTATGAGAAAGAGCACAGGTCAATTCCTCTGCAGGGACCTGCGCTGGTCCCTGCAACATCAAGTCCAACCTCAATCCAACCCCACCATGGCCACTAAACCACGTCCCCAAGTGCCACATTGAACCCCTGCAGGGATGGGGACTCCACCACTGCCCTGGGCAGCCCCTGCCAGGCCCTGAGAACCCTTTGGGGAGGAAATTTCCCCTCAGATCCAACCTCACCCTCCCCTGGCACAACTTCAGGCCATTTCCTCTCATCCCATTGCTTGTTCCTGGGGAGCACAGCCCGACCTCCCCTCGCTACCCCCTCCTTTCAGGAGCTGCAGAGGGGATAAGGTCTCTAAGTTGTAGAAAGCAATAGGTGTGAGGGCAGAGGATGCTCCTGCTGTGAAAGCTGCCCTCACTTGCGTTGTCTGCTCCGTCTGTCCGTCCGTCTGTCTGCACTAACCCCCCATGGCCTTGTTTTTGTGCCCGTGCCGCCCCGCTGCCCGCTCCCCTCCCTTGCCCACCCACCCGCAGGTACCCGAGGGTCTGTGTGCCAGCTCGCCCACGCTCACCAGCCCCATCGAGTACCAGTCTCCGGCCAACTCCCTGCACACCCCACCGCTCAACCGCCACAACGTCTTCAAGCGTCACAGCATGAGGGTAAGAGGGATTCCCACATCCCCACGGCATCCAGACGACATCCCAGGCCCTGAAATGCTTGGGGATGCTTATCCCAGGGATGCTTATCCCAGGGATGCTGGGGACCTCACGGAAAGTACCATGCTCTGCTCTGTGCTGCTGCCTCCGCTGCTTTCAGCTCAATGTTGCTCCCTACCCAATTGTGGAAAGGCCAAATCATGTCCAGGGTGCAGGAGGGATGGAGCCCATGAAGGGTTGGGGGTGTCTCCAGCCCCCCACTTATGCATGGTTGCACGTACATCCCAGTGAAGGCACGTTGGTGAATGGGGAACTGTCACGGTGTCCCCAAAATTGAGTAGGGGATGGGTGGCTACTGCTCCTCGGGGCTTTGGGTTGGCTCCTCACTCTTGATGCTGCCACCTGAAATGCCAGCGGTGGTTTGCAGCCTGAGCTTGGTCACTTTAGCCCCGAAATCAGAGCCGGGTGTTGGGGTGCATCCTGAAATGAGCTGCTCCCTGTGCATGATGCCCATAGAAAAAGCTGGGATGCGGTGATGGAGAATTTAGAAACCCAAATGCTCCCCAAATCCAGAGCTGTTGGGATCTGGTGCATGGTTTGCATGCATGGAGAGGGGCTATGGATCCCATGCCCAAATCAGGGGGGACTCCATCTCCTGATCCCCCCATCTCTGCACCCCAGGAGGAAGATTTCCTCCGTCCCAGCAGCAAGGAGGAGGCGCAGAAGCTGTGGGAGATGGAGAGGCTGAAGATGCAGCAGGTCCTGGACAAGCAGCAGAAGCAGATGGTGGAGGACTACCAGTGGCTGCGGCAGGAGGAGAAGTCCCTGGTGAGTCCCCGAGTTGTCCCTAGCTTTCACACCCTTATGAAGGTGATGGAAGAGCCACAGCAGCCGCTGAGCTTGGTTTTCACAGCTGGAAAAGCCAATTTTCCTAGGAGAAATGGCTCCTCCAGCAGCCAAACCTCTCGCACCCCTTTATTTCCAGCGCCTGGAAAAACCTCCTGGCATTGCTTCGTTTCAAAAATGAATATTTTTAAAACTCAGGCAAATTTTAAGTACCTGCAATTGCGTCTTAATGAGCTTTTCTAACGCTTTTGAAATAGGGGCTGGAGGTAGCTAATGGGTGACTAATGCATCGCTTGGAAGGAGACCTGAAATCTTTTATTTGATTGACTCAGGCAGCCGATAAAGCAAAACTCTCGCCGCCCCGGCCAGCCGATAAAGCAAAACGCTCGCCCCCGGAGCCGAGCGGCTGCAAAGAGCAGCTTGAATTAAGCTTCATTTTATTTTGGAGCAGGAATTTGAGGGTTCTGGTACCCCAGGAGCAGATGGGGAGCAGATAGGGGATATGGGATGGGATGGGATGGGATGGGATGG